ACACACACACGCATATGTTTTCTTTCATAGGCGCCGCCCCGACGCAGGCGAAGGCGAAGCAGGAGGAACTGAAAGCTTCCCTGGATGCCTCGAAGGCCCGTGGAGACGCTCACATGTTGGGTTGTTACACGAATTACTAGTACTAGTACTACAACAAAATAACGTTATATAACACAATATAATGCAATATCCTAGAATATAATACAGTACCCTGTGCTTCCAGTATGATTCCGGTATTATTCGTTCGAAGTCAGTCCTTACCTAATACCGCATTACACTATGTTCCAGCCGCGCAAACCCGTTCAGTTTTCTAAGTATAAAGGGCCTTATGTCATGGCTCAAAGGCTAGGGGCTTTATTCTCTGTGGGTTTGAGGGTTTCCGGCATTGGTGTTCCGGCTTTAGGGCTGCTTCCGAGCGTTACTAGCCTGAAGATGGAAACTGGCCGAAATCAGAGAGCACCAGGCTGCCCCCGCCGATTGCCACAGCAGTGCCCGCACTCCTGGCCTTGCCGGCAGCCGAGGTCGCGGCAGTGCACGAATGGCAAGTAAGGTTTAGGGTGCTAGTTGTATTTTGGAGTTCCACCGGCAGAGGCCCCCTGCATCGAAAGCCGCAGGGACCTTAATCATTTCAGGAGGGTTCCGGGGTCTATTATATCGTGCTACAATGAGGAACCCTAAGGAATGGTATTGGTAATTATTCCGGCTTCTACATTAGTTTACAATACGGTTCTGAGGCGAGGCATAGCTTCCATGGTTTAGGATTTACATGTTTGGAGGATCTTGCGGTGCCCGCGGTCTTGGCTTTCTTGGGTCTCTGTATAGACTCTGGCGATGGGATGTTTAGGGTTTCGGGTTTAGGGATGTCTAGCGTTTAGGGCTTAGGCTTCAAGGTCAGCGGGATTTTGAGGTCAATGATTTGCAAAAGCCTATTGCTGTCTTTTTCAAAAAAACCCAGGACCCTTATTGCTCTGCGGACTTTTGTGGGATAATTGTCTCGAGGCTGGGGTGGTTTATATCAATATGTGCGTTCTCTTTCACAGGCCGTGGATGCATTATTTCGGTTTCGGTTCAGTGGGTTGGGCTTCGGGCTATAAAACAGACCGCATGGTTTAAGCCTTATGATTTACGGCTAATGGCGTATACGGGACTTATGTTCCGATGTACAGTTCCCAGATAACTTCAGCATGCTATGCTCTTGGGTGTTTCTTAGTGTATTGTAGGGCACAGTTGTAGCTGTGCTAACACCTCGCTCCACTTTTGAAGCCAACACAGTAATTAAACCGCCACGGGACAGCAATCCCTGCGGCTTCCCATAGCATCCATGAAATTGCATAAAACCCCCAGAGAGATCACTGAAAGTGTCGAATCTGTAGGAAATAGTAAACAACACACACCAATTATGAGACCTAACCAATACAACGCCTGAGCCCTAATGGCCTCACGCCAGGCTGCTGAGAGAGTTCTCGACACATCAGGAGATGCCCCGGCGCTCAGCAATTGTCACGGGTTTCGGGTCACCACAGCTCGCTCTTTCTCTCTGTCTCTCTCTCTCTCTCTCTCCCTCTTTCTTTCTGCTCCCTCTTTCTTTCTGTGTATGTAAGAGGTTAGGTTTTATGGTTGCCTCNNCATGGGGATTCTGCAAGTCTTGCCTTTTGTTTGAAGCAGTTTCGTGTGGTTCTCGTGTCAAACCGACCCTTTGGGATTGGGTTTGCATAGAGTTCGTGGCAGTTCGTGGTATTGTCCCTGTTTGATTATGCTAAATGGTTATCCCCCAAGACCCTGTTCTTATTGTCAAGGCCTCTACCTTGGTTTAAGGGTTTAGGGCTTTCAAACCTTTAACTTTAAAAATTCGCTTCCGTACGGCCGAAGAAGCCTCAAACCCTGAAGTCCATGCCACTGCCTTAGAAACCTGGTCACATACCTTTCTATACTCTATGTGTACCCTATTCTACTTTACTCTACTCCAGTCTACTTTATTCGATTACAATGTGTTTTTATCATTTGTTATGTTATGCTTCGCTCTGCTTTGAAGCCCCGAACTCCCCACAGAAGACGTCGGAACGACAGATCGCTCGTGCAAAGGCTGGAAAGCCACGGGCGGCTGATGATACGCCAAGTCTACGGATATCTGGATCCCCAGAGGCCCCTTTAGGGTTTAGAGTTTAGTACTTTGGGGTTTAAGGTTTAGGAAAGTTTAGGGTAAGCTAATCTAGGGTTTAGGGTTGAGTAGCTTAGGGTTTAGGGTTTAGGCTTTGGTAATTTGGGGTTTAGGGTTTAGTAGTTTAGGGTTCAGGGCGAGCAAGAACCGGAAAGCCTGTGAGTTCTGACAGGATTCGTGTCTCGCATGCTGATCCCTAGGTTCAACTCGTTGGCTCCTAGGGCTTGGTTGCTGAATTGTGCAAGTTAAGGATCCAAGCGTTCTGAATCCCTGGTGACGGCGCCACAGCAAGAAAGATGGGCATCCTGCGCCTTTCCATTCGCAAGTCGGACGTGCATCTGGAATTTTTAAGATCTCCTTTCGGAATCAACTCTGCGACAGTACACTTTGAGCCCGCGCCCCTTAAGTTTGGAACGGTGCGTGCGAATGCCCACAGCACAGGCCCGATGCGAAACAGGCCCAGAAGCTTGCTGGAGGCTGGCACTGTGAGTACTTCAAGGATCAAAGGACTTGGCAAATAGGGTTAAGGTAGTCGTAACTATAGTTCTATTAACACGTAACCCAAATTAGGGTACCTAAAACCCTACTGGCTATGTCCCCTTCGCCCCGAAAAGCCGTTAGAACCTTCACAGAAACCCTTATGGACACACCGCGGGATTATGATTTCCGAGTCTTTCTTCGTTGCTTTGGCGGAGCCTAGGTTTGAACACGGCGTAGACCCAGAGTTTCCAATATAAAGGAGCCTTTAAACCACCAAAATATGGGAGCCCCAGAGACCTGAAGCCCCCACGGCCACTAAAGCGACCTTCCCCCAAGCCCGGACTTCAACCTAATTTCTGAACAGGCTTAGGGGTTATGGCCGTAGGGTTTAAAGGGTTAGGGGGATTATACAGCTTAGGGCTTCTTGGTTTAAGGGTTTTTAGGGTTTAGGTGTTTGAGGTTATAAGGCTTAGGGCTTTAGGGTTTTTAGAGTTTAGGGGTATTAGGTCCAGGGTTTACGCTTGCACCCTTTTAGCCCCAAGCCCCTCAACGCTGCGCTCTAACTTGGACCCTTACAGGGCTTGTCTTGGACTCGGATACCACCTCTAAGCGAGGCTCCAAACCCGTGTTATTAAGGTATAATGTAGGGACCTCAATGATCAGAATAGAAGGGTTTTGGGTCCCTCTATACTCGTATTTTAGCAAGGAGCGCTAACAGTAATATTGGGAATTGTTTAGGTTTCCAGATTAAGTCGTCGATGCTCATGGTACTTGTGCGTTGATCACAAACATAGCCCTGAAACCCTAAACCTTAAACCCCTAAACCCTAAACTATTTATAGACGTTCGACCGCAAGGTGGGTAGTGTTTGTATATTTGCACATGACTCCTGCACCTATATATTCCATAGGTAGTTTCAGGCTAGAGGGTAGATGTCGGGCGTAGCAGGGTCCAGGAATCCGAGTGTTGCCCTGAACCTTAAACCCTAAACCCTATTCAGCCCTATACAAAGGGCTTGGGGAGTTTGGGACCTAAGCTACTCCAAAGGGAAACAGTACTGCCCCAGGGTCCTTAACCTGAGGCCTCTCCGTGGAGGTGGAGATCGATGATATCGTCTTCGACGGGCAGTTCCATGCGACTGGTTTAGGGTTTAGGGTTTTTTCTACAGGTTTTGGTTTCAGGTTTAGGGTTCAGGGTTTCTAATTTAACAGGCTTTTCTTTCAGGTTTAGGGGTCAGATTTCTCATTTAACAGATGTTGTTTGAGGTTTGGGGTCTTGGTGCTGGGAGGGCTTGGGGCGTGGGGTTTATGTTGCAGGGCCGGGGGTCTCGGGGAGTGAGCTGGGCTGCTTTTTCGTTGTAACAGTCCACAGCCTCGTTTTTTTGTTTGTGCGCTCTTTTACTGCAGGAACCCCGACGGACGCTCGGATGCCCAAGCCTGCATTCCTACTTGATTCTGAAGCTCTGATATACATACGTACTCCATACTCCGGCATGTTAACACATGTGCGCTTGTTGCGTATGTATGTATGCATGTATGTGTGTATGTATGCATGTATGCATGCATACATGTATGCAGGTAGGGTTACATGCATACATACACATGTAGCTACCTGATGCTTTCGCTCGCGTAGCCACAGACGAAAGCGCACGTACCCTAGACTTTAAACCCTGAGCCCGAAACGTCAAACTATATCAAACGTAAACCATGAGCCCATACCCTGAACCCCTAAACCCCTAAACCGTAAACCCCTAGACCGTAAAAACCGAAACCCTCTTAGGTGAAGGCCACGTCTTCCGATGCTCCACTGGAGGGCCTTGCAGGTGTCCAGCCTTGCATTTCTCAGGGTTTTGGGTTTACCCATAGGCTGCTTGCTTACACCGCTTGTGGGACATTTAGAGAGCAATATCAGGTCGGGTTTGTACTAAACGTTGGAGTAAACAGTTCCGGTGGAGTTTTGCAGAATCATGGCTGTGATAATACGGAGACATGTAGTGGCATAGCGAAAACAATTGAGAGCGTGAGAGGTTATGAGTGTCCTAAACAGCAGCTGTTTAAGATTGAAGACCGTGACCATTCTGAAGTGTGTATCATGAAGTCCAT